CAGACGCCGACCGACGCGAGGATCGCCAGCAGCATCGGAAACAATCGGAACAAGAGCAGTCGTCGCGACAGCGCTAGCGAGAACAAGATGACAAGCGTCATCGTCAGGATGCTCGTCGGCCAGTGCGACGCAGCCACCGGAGCGCCGGCCTGATAGAGCGCGAGCCCGATCAGCATGATCACGGGGCCAACGACCACTGGAGAGAGGAAATGCCGAACGGCGCCCACGAGGCCCGAGAACCCGAGCGCCATCTCGACCACCGCGCCGACAATCACCGCGCCGGCGATGTACTGCATCGCTTCGCCGCCATCACCGCCGAGGCCGCCGGCGCTCTCGGGACGCAACACCGTCGGGATGATGACGCCGCTGAACGCCGCCAAGAAAGAAAAGCTCACCCCCTGAATGATCGGCAGCCGCGACCCGAAGGTCGTCTGTAGCAGCGTGGCCACGCCGCTACAGAGCATGACCGACGAGATCAACAGCGCGGTCTGCGTCGCGTTCATCTGCATCGGCTCGGCGAGCAACAGCGGCACCGCGACGGTCGAGCCGAACATCGTCAGCACGTGCTGCACGGCGAGTACCACCGCCCGCGGAAAGGGCGGCTTGTCATCGAGGCCGTAGAGGACGGTCTGGCTACTCATTGTCCGGAGAGTTTTGTGAAGGTTCCGATTCAGCCTCATGCTTGAGCACTGCGCGAAGGTTCGCGTCATAGTGCTTCATACGACTCTTCGCCTTGCTCTTTGTTGCTTCATCGCCGCCGTACTCGACGTCAACGAGGTGATACTGGAGCCTGTCATAGCAGTGAAGGCGCAAGACAAGTAGCTTGAGCTGGAGGTCGTCACTCGTCTTCGCGTACTCGAGCAATTCTCCGTACGCATCGGCGTATCCCACTCCGTAGGCCTTGGACAACTCCGGGAACTCGGAGTCACCAGCATTGTGTAGCGACAATTGCTTGGCCTTCCGGTTATCTTCGGTTGCTTCGCTCAACAATTCTCGAACGTCAGCGGCTCCAGCAGTTGCGGCCGCACCAAAGAGCAACAGGAACGCTAAGGGTTTCATCATTTCGTAATACTTAGTGCGAGTAGCAGTGCTGATCGCAGTACCGAGATTGCTGTTGGCCATTGTCGAAACACTGAAAGGTCAGAAGGCATTGGTTGGGTAGGCCGTATCGCCACAGCTGCCGTTCCCATGGGCCGACAGTTAGAGTTCCGTTATCGCCCCGTAAGTTTCCGGCCGGCGGTCGCGGAAGAACTGCCACGTGTTGCGTACTTCGCGGATCATGTCGAGGTCCATGTCGGCGATCACGATGTCGTCCTCGTCACGCTTGTCGCTCTTGGCGACGTACTGGCCGCGGGGGTCGCAGAAGTAGCTCTGGCCGTAGAACTCGCCGATCCGCCACGGCTCTTCCCAGCCGGGCCGATTGATCGCGCCGACGAAGTACTGGTTCGCCACCGCGTGGGCGGGCTGCTCGATCGTCCACAGGTACTCGCTGAGCCCCGCGACGGTCGCCGACGGGTTGAAGACGATCTCGGCGCCGCCTAGCCCCAGGCACCGTGCGCCATCGGGGAAGTGGCGGTCGTAGCAGATGTAGACGCCTACCTTGCCGACGGCTGTGTCGAAGACCGGGTAACCGAGGTTCCCGGGGCGGAAGTAAAACTTCTCCCAGAAGCCTGGGTTGCAATGCGGGATGTGGATCTTGCGGAACTTGCCGAGGTACGAACCGTCGGCGTCGATGACGGCGGCCGTGTTGTAATAGACGCCCGTCATGTCCTCTTCGTACATGGGGACGACCATCACGATGCCGAGCTTCTTCGCCAGCTCCATCATCAGCTTGGTGGTCGGCCCGTCGGGCACGGGCTCGGTAAGCTCGTACCACTTGGTGTCCTGCTCGGCGCAAAAATAGGGGCCGTAGAACAACTCCTGCAAGCAAACGACCTGGGCGCCCTTGCCGGCGGCCTCCTCGATCATCGCGACGTGCTTATCGATCATCGCCTGCTTGATCTTGGCGACGGGCGACGTCGTGGGCTCGCAGGTGGTCGCTTGAATCAGCGCGCCACGGACAGGTCGGGGCATTCGTATTTTCTCCAGAACGGGCAGAGTCTTGCTCGAAGCAGTACAATACGAATCGAACCACAAAGGAACGAAGGAACCAAGAGCAGCGGGGCATGGGCCCTCACTCCCTTCGTTCCTTAGTTCCGTTGTGGTTCGTTCTTTTGGCTGCGCTTGGCTCGGCTTGGCGTGGTTGTGTGGAACGCCTGTCGCTGGCTACCTTAATCGAAACTTAACCGAACGCCTACGTCTTTCCGCCGGGAACTCTGCGATGACGACGACCGCTGCCGTGGCTATTGCTCCGATGCTGATTGGCGGTCGCTGGGTCGAGACGGCGACCGATACCTGGGAGGACGTCTACAACCCGTCGACCGGTCAGGTCATCGCCCGCACGCCGCACGCCGGCAAGGAAGCAGTTGACGAAGCCGTCGAAGCCGCCGCCAAGGCGCTGCCGGAATGGGCCGACACGCCCGTCGTCGAGCGCGCCCGGGTGATGTTCCGCTTCCGCGCGCTGATGGAAGAGCACTTCGAAGAGCTGGCGACCCTCGTCACGCGCGAGCACGGCAAGACGCTCGCCGAAGCGCGGGCCGAACTCAACCGCGGCGTCGAGATGGTTGAGTTCGCCGCCGGCATGCCCGCGATGCTGATGGGTCAAACGCTGCCCGACATCGCGTCGGGCGTTGACGCCGAGTGCGTGAAGCATCCCGTCGGAGTGTGTGTCGGCATCACGCCGTACAACTTCCCGAACATGGTGCCGCTGTGGATGTTCCCCGTTGCGATCGCCTGCGGCAACACGTTCGTCTTGAAGCCGTCCGAGAAGACGCCACTCTCCGCGGTGCGGCTCGGTGAGTTGCTGACCGAAGCGGGTTTGCCCGACGGCGTGTTCAACATCGTTCATGGCGCGCGGGCGTGTGTCGAGGCATTGCTAACGCACCCAAAGGTAGCGGCGATCTCGTTCGTCGGTTCGACGCCCGTCGCGAAGATCGTCTACGAGACTGGCACGAAGCACGGCAAGCGAGTGCAGGCCGCCGGCGGGGCCAAGAACCACCTCGTCATCATGCCCGACGCCGACATCGATCAGACCGTCAAGCAACTCGCCGCCAGCGCCTACGGCTGCGCCGGCCAGCGCTGCATGGCGGGGAGCGTCGCGGTGGCGGTCGGCGGGGCAGGGGACCCGCTCGTCGAGGGCCTCGTCGATTTCGGCAAGGCGATGAAGGTCGGCCCCAGCGACCCCGCCGTCTCAAGCGCCGCCGAGACGATCGGCATGGGCCCGTTGATCCGCGACGATCATCGCAAGCGGGTCGCATCGTATCTTGATATCGCTCTGCAAGACGGCGCGACGGTCGCGCTCGATGGCCGACAATCGGCGAGTGGCGACGGCTTCGTGCTGGGCCCGAGCGTTGTCGATCACGTGGCGCCGACGATGCGTGTCGTGAAGGAAGAGATCTTCGGCCCCGTGCTCAGCGTCGCCCGCGTCGAGACGCTCGAAGAAGCTCTCGCCCGAGGCGACGGCTGCGAGTTCGGCAATGGCGCCGTGATCTTCACGCAGAGCGGCCACGCGGCGCGTGAGTTCAAACGCCGCTTCAACGCCGGCATGATCGGCGTCAACGTCGGCGTCCCGGCGCCGATGGCTTGGTTCCCGTTCACCGGTTGGAACCGCTCGTTCTTCGGCGACCTCCACATTCAAGGGACCGAGGGCATCCAGTTCTACACCCGCCAGAAGGTGACGCTCACCCGCTGGCCCAAGCCGAGCGAGTCGCACCACGACCCCGTTTGGCGCAGCGGTCGCTGACGTAATTCTTAGACAGGATCAACTCGAGGTCTTGTTGATTGATCCTGTGTATCCTATTGATCCTGTCTAACTTAAGGAAGTCCGATGTCGATCAGTCGTCGAGCCTTTGGCGGTATCGCCGCCGCCACTGCCGGTCTGGCAATCACTTCCCCAACACGGGCCGAGACGGCCCCTGCGCCGAAGGTCCGCAACCGCATCGCGGTCTCGACCTACTCCTTTTGGCGGTTCAAGGACGACTCGAAGCTGTCGATCGAGGAGTGCATCGATCAGGCCGCGCGGATGGGGTTTGATGGGGTCGAGATACTCCACATCCAGATGGAAAGCGAAGACCCTGGCTACCTGCAACGCCTCAAGCAACAGGCCTTCATCAACGGTCTCGACCTCTGCGGCCTCAGCACGCACCAGGGTTTTGTCTCCCCCGATGAAGCGGTCCGGCAGAAGAACATCGATCACACGATCCACACCATCGAGCTCGCCTACGCCCTCGGCATCCCGACGATGCGCGTCAACACGGGGCGCTGGGGGACCAGCGGGGACTTTGATGAGCTGATGGCCAACCGCGGCGTCGAGCCGCGGCTGCCGGGCTACACCGACGACGATGGCTTTGCTTGGGTGATCGACGCGTTTGAGAAGATCATGCCGACGGCCGAGAAGTGCGGCGTGACGCTCGGCCTGGAGAACCACTGGGGTCTCGGCCTGACGCCCGAGGGGGTGCTGCGGATCGTTGACGCGGTGGACTCCCCCTGGCTCCGCTGCACGCTCGACACGGGCAACTTCCTCGAAGACCCCTACGACCGTCTGGAGAAGATGGCGCCGGAGACGGTCTTCGTCCAAGCCAAGACCTACCACGGCGGCGGCCTGTGGTATTCGCTTGAGCTCGACTACCCGCGGATCGCCGCGATGCTCCGCCGCCACGACTACCGCGGCTACGTCTCGCTGGAGTTCGAGGGCGAGGAAGACTGGCGGACAGCAATCCCCAAAAGCCTCGCCGAGCTCCGGGCAGCGTTCGGCTAATCCCCCTTATGGTGGGTCTGAGCCGTGGGCGGGAGCCCTCGGAGCACAGCGGGTAGCAGCCGCCACCGAGGCTCCCGCCCACGGCTCAGGCCGTTCAGAAGGCGCCCCGGACCCGCGGTTATGGACATACGTCCATATCGCCGCAGAGGCACGTAGAAGGCGGTTTCGCAGGGGCCGATGACCAGAGCGTCGTCCTCGGTCTCCAGCCCCGCAGAATGGCTCCTAGCGGCTCACAGAGGGCGCCGGCGAAAAGCCCTGTACTTCAAGAGCGAAACGGCTACGGGTTGGCTGCGAACGACAACGGCCGGGTCGAATCGTAACCTATTGCGGTGAAACCGGTTGCGTCAATCGAGCCGCCCCGCGTTTGCGAACTTTGCGGTTTCTCGGCCAATTTCTGCAAGAATAATTCGCTTTGCGAATACCAATCCGCCACCCGAGCGTGCTGATCTTAATAGCCACGCGTCTTTTCCCGCGACGGTTTCTCATCAGCTTATGGACGGACCGAGAGAAGCCTTCGCGCGATTGTTCGCCAAGAACCAGAGCTGGCTATACGCCTACCTCGTCACGCTGCTCGGCAACGTCGCCGACGCGGAGGAGGTGTTCCAAGAGGTTTGCGTCGTGCTCTGGAGCGAGTACGAGGCTTTCGACCCGGAGACCAACTTCCGGCGGTGGGCGAGTGTTGTCGCCCGCAACCGGGTGATGGGTTTCCGGACCAAGCAGCAGCGTGAGGCGAAGAGGCTGTCGGATGTCGCGATTGAATTGCTTGCGGAAGAAGCCGTGGAACGTGCCGATCTGCTCGAAGAGCGTCGGGCCGCGTTGCACAGGTGCCTCGACAAGCTGTCTCCTGCCGACCGGCAACTCGTCGCCAAGTGCTACGGCGACGCCGACCGATCGTTCAATACCGTCGCCGAGCAGCTCGGCCGACCGGTGAACACGGTCTACAAGGCGTTGCAGCGGGTGCGTCGGGCGTTGCGTGAGTGTGTTGACCTCCGTGTCAATGCGCAGGTTTGAGCGCTCGGCTTCCACGTCAGGCGTCCCAGTCGAGCGTCTCAGCTAGGCGTCCACGCCAAATGGCTGGAAGCGTCGAAGAGTTTCAGTGTGAAGAGTATCGAGGGGTCTCCCTCAATAGAGCCGCATGAAGCGGTAGGAACTGCGAGCCAAATGGCGCACGACGAACAACTCCACGAACTGGTTGACGCCCTCAGCGACCGCTCGATCACCGACGAGCAGATCGCGACGCTCAACCAGCGCCTCGAGAGCGACCAGGCCTCGCGCCACGGGTTCATGAACCTGATGCGGATCGAGGCCGAGCTTGGCGCGCTCCATCACCCGCTTGCGTCGTGGTCGTTTGAGGACGGGGCGGCGTTCGTTGATTCCACCGAGCCGTTATCAACACTATCCAGCCCAGCCAATCTACAGAGTCAAGCCGAACCACAGAGTCCATCACGTCGCTCGGTCCGCTTCCTGCAAACGATGGGCGCCCTGGCGGCGTCGGTCGCGATCACGGCGGCGGCCTCCTCGTGGCTGACGTACGAAGGCGTCCAAGGCCGCGGCCCACTCGCCGCGATGCTCGCGACGGACTCCGTGAAAGGCACGGCGGTCACCGATGTCGTCGCCCGCGTCGCCGCCACCCGCAACTGCCGCTGGAGTGGTGGGACCACGGACCTTGGGTTCGGCGCCGACGTTGCTGGCGGTGAGTTGCTCGAGCTGGAAACGGGTCTCGCCGAGTTGACCTTCCCCGGCGGCGCGCGGGTGGTGCTCGAAGGCCCCGCCGCCTTCCGCATCAGCGATTCAGAGACCGTCGAGCTCTACCGCGGGCGCGTCGCCGCCGCTGTCCCGACCGAGGCGCAGGGCTTCTCGATCAAGACGCCACGCCTGGTCATCGCGGAGACCGGCGCCCAGTTCGGCGTCGTCGCCGGCGCCGATGGCTCGGACGAGGTCCACGTCTTCGAGGGCGCCATCGAAGCCCGCGCGGTGGACGATCGCGGCCGCATCACCAGCGTCGTGAACCTCGCCTCGCTGGAAGCCGCCCGCTTCCGCTCCGCCAACCATCGCTTCGCCCGCTTCAACGCCGACG